TAGCATTCGCGGATGTGTCGGAGGGCGTCGCTCTGACCAGCATTAGTAGCGGTGACCTGGCCCTCCGCAGGGGCCTCCCCAGACATCTGATTCAGACAAGCAACCCCGTCGTTGGCCCAATCACTGTAATACTGAACCCGACGCCTCCTACGCTCCGCATTCCGACAAGGCTGCGCTGCCCCCTGACACTGCCTCACCTCCCGTGGCAAAAAAGGCAAAGGGAAAATGTCGCGCTCGCGAGCGTCCCTGGTCGCTGGACCGGGCTCGGGCTTAGGGCCAGGCGTCGAGGGGGCACGAGAGCTCTGGCAAGCAGCAGCGCCACGGTCCGTGGCCGAGGGCGGCGTCAGGCCAGGGGGGGGAGAGATATGTGCACGAGTGAGGCCGGGCGGCATGAAGTATGACCCGACCTCGAAGGCCTCCGAAAGATGGGCGAGCGGGCGGCCTGGTCCCGCCGCCCGTGGATGATCATCCATCGTCCTTGCCGTCCTTCTTGGGGTTCTTCTTGTTCTGCTTCGCGCTCTGTCTCTCCTCCCGAGCCTTGCGCCTCTCCTTCATGACCGAGACCTCCTTCTGCAGCTCGCTCGACACCCAGCTCTGGAGGGATGGGCAGACCGCGACATTGCCGCGGACGTGGTCGAGGCCCATGTACAGGAAGGCGTCCTGCACGCCATCAGAGCCACCTCCGGCTATGCTGGGCATCCTGTCACGATGTCTCTCTTCAGACAACTGGATCGTTCGGGACATGATCTCAGCCGCTGCGATGTCGGGAAGGTTTAGCTGGTCGTACGTGGCCATACTTTCCAACATCTGGCAGCACATGAGGTGTTGCTCAACTCCGCCGTCATTCACCTGTAGCTTGGCGTCGGCCTTCCATCGAGCGTGGCGCCCGAGAGGCGTCTGTCCGTTGGCCACCATGAACCGACAGAGCCATAGCGTAGTGCGGGGTCCCCGCACTGGGAAATCATTCAAGGGCGTCTCGACCATGCCCTCCACGGCGAACCTGAACTCCCTGAAGCGGGCCCCGCTCACGTCCTGCTGGATCGGCTGCACCCGGATGTCCACCGTCGGGAACGCGGCGACCGTGGGTGCGGCAGCGCCTGGGGCCACGGCGGCGGGCACCAGCACCCCGCCTGCGCCTAAGGCGGGGGGCGGCATGACGGCCGCTGCGGCGGCGCCCGGCGCGCCCGCGCCTGGCGCTGCGCCCGCAGCGGCGCCAAGGGCCACGCCTGCGCCGGCCACGGCGCCGCCAGGGCCGACGCCAGGAGCAGGTCCAAGCGCAGCCGCCAGGGCGCCCGCGCCTCCGCCCAAGGCCGGCACGACGGCCTCCGCGGCGACGGCGGCCCCGGCAGGGGCGGCCCCGACCGCGCGCCCGACCAGGTTGGGCTGCTTGCCGTCGATCGGCACTGCCACTCCCCGCCGTGCTGCCGCTCGGGCACGGGCGGCGTTGAACACCGCGGGCGTGGGCACGTTCTGAAACCGATAAACAGGTAGCACAGCCCCACCAGGTCCAGCAGGAGGATCACCTCCACAGACCCCTAGGGCCATCAAGCCGAATGACACTACGTCTGCTCCATGAAGCCAATCTTCGTCATACTCATCTCCGTCTGGGGTGAGCACACTCACGGTTGAGCCAGCTCCTGGCTCGATGAGCACGAGTCGCTCGTGATAGATGGGCGGACCTGGCACGTTGTACTGGATAGCACCAAAATCACCGGCCTCGATGCCGAGGCTTTGCGCTGGAATAGGGGCAGCCATCACGCCGAATTCTTGCGCCGCTGCCTAAGCAGATTCAGCTGCTGGAGCGCGACCTTCTCCACGTCGTCGGTGAGCGGAGCGAGCCCAGCAGCGGCGGCGGCCGGCACAGGCGGCGTGGCCCGAGCCCCGAACACGCAGTGCTGCACCACCAGCACCCCGAGCACTCCGACGATCGTGCCAACGAAGAAGAACGTCGGCCCGCTCGGGCCCGTCGGGACCGTGTACTCCTGAGGCAGGGAACCTTCCGCACAGGCCAGCGTCGGCGAGCACTGGCACACGCAATCAGGGCAGCCGACCGTGGACGCGCGGACTGCGAGGGAGGTAGAGAGTCCCCGAGCAATCTCAAGGACCAGCTCGTTCATGGGAGCCTGGGCCCCCCAAAAAAGCTTGAGCCGCAGTGTCATGCGGCCCCGCTCACCCCTCTCCCACTTACTGTATTTAATTCAGACATTCAAATCTTAGGATCTACATTGAAACTTTAAGAATAATCGAGACTCTGGCCGAAAACTTGGGTTTTCTTAAGCATCGCCTAAGGTGTATGCGACCTGTCGGCCGCCAGGTTTCAGTATCATATATGGCGCGGACGTCTGCAACTGTGGCCATTGAGTGGCCTTCGTATACTCGGGAGTAGTCTCGCCCCGGGAAGGTCGGACCCTTCTACGAAAACATGGCGTTGTGACATGTCGCGATGCGGCTCATGGCCGAAACAGATACGCGCAAGCAACCCGTGCAATATGCGAGGGCAGGTCGGACAGATCCGTCTAGGAGTGCGGGGGGGCATCTGGTGGCCAATCTTCCAGTCGGCGAAATTCTGGGCGGGGGGGGGGGGCGCTCAAATGCGCCGCGGGCGCCGTGCTCTATTGCATCACTCGCGCGGCTACGGTCGTTGGGCGTGGCTTAATGGGGGGGTCACAAATGGGGGGGTCAGAAAAGGCCCCCTTTCGTGCCCCTGTCGGGCCCCTCCAGAGCCCCAGGGGGCTCGTCTAGGTACCGTGTAGGTACCTCTTCGGACCACGCTCGCCACCCCCCATTTATGACCCCCCCATTACGCGGCGCCCAAGATCGAAGGCACAAAAAAAATCCCCGGGGCCTTCCATCCCGAGACGCGGCCCCGACAGGGAGGGATGTGACTGCGAGCGCGAAGCGTGCCGATATATGCTCGGGGCGCGCGCGGCGCCGCGGCATCTCCTCTTACAGCGACTGCGAAATCGCTTTTGTGAGTCCAGAAAATGCCAGCAACACCGACAAAACCTAACAACAAATCCTCGGCTCCCTGCCTCCTCCTCCTCCCCCTCCCCCTCCTCCTCCTCCTCCTCCTCCTCCTCCTCCTCCTCCTCCTCCTCCTCCTCCTCCTCCTCCTCCTCCCCCTCCTCCTCCTCATCCTCCTCATCCTTCTCATCCTCCATCCTCCATCCTCCACCCTCCTCCTCTACAGCGACTGCCAAATCGCTTTTGGAATCCAGAAAGTGCCAGCAACACGAACACTACCTAATAATAATTCCTGGGTTCCCCGAGGGGTGGGCTGAACGGCCAACGATTGTTTGCAGCAGGGGCCCGGGAGCTCCTGGAGAGAATCCTTTTAAACGTTGCTGAGCTCGGGCGCCGCTGGGCCACACTGGACGAGGTTTCTCTCTCTCTCTCTCTCTCTCTCTCTCTCTCTCTCTCTCTCTCTCTCTCTCTCTCTCTCTGTCTCGAGGGGGGGGGGGGCGCGGGAGGGGCAGGGGAAGGGGGGCTGGGGCCAGAGGAAGGGGAGGGCGGATGAAAGGATTGGGGCAAGAATGAGGGGGGGGGATGAGAGAGGCGGAGGGAAGGGGGGAAGGGAAGGCAGGAGGGGCGGGGAGGGACGGAAGGGAAGGAGAGGCGGGAGGAGGGAGGAGAGGAAAGGATACAAGGATGGGGAAGGAGAGAGGAGGGAGCAGGGGAGGTGAAGGACATGCAACAAAAGCATTTTCTCCAGCCTCGCTGGATGTGCCCCGTCTGGCACGGGGCTCCACTGACTCCGGGCCCCGTCGGGCCAGTCCTCTACTGGCGCTACCTACTGCAGCCGTCGACGCATGATGCATTCGAGCTCATGTGACCACGCTGGCTCCACCCCCCACTCCGCGTTCGCCTGCATGGCCGATGCTGGCCCCGAAAATGGATGGAGCCAGATCGGCCACGATCGCGAGCGCCGCGGACACGGGCGCAGCCAGGATGACCATATGAACGCGAACGCCTCATCAACTCATGTTGATTTGTTCAGCGCCTCGGAGATGGCGCGGTCGATCTCGCCCACGATGGCCGCCAGGACCATGGATTCGTCAATGGTGGTCGAATCGTGCAGCTCGCCCTTCGTCGCCGTGAGCGAGTCGACCGTCGTGGAGGAGCTGGGGCCCTTGAGGTGATGCATCACTTTCGCCTCCCAATTGGTCGCGTGGGCTTTGGAGATCGTCGTCTTCACGTCCTCGGCGATCTTGTTGAAGTCGTCCATCGTGTAGTGTTCCTGCGCAATCGATTCGCAGTCCGCGCAGAGGCCCCCCACGTCGGCCTCGACGGCCCTGAGCTTGCCCGCCAGCCCGCGCCGCTTGAAGAGGCTCGCCTTGGCGCGCCCCTGATCGTCGGAGAATGTTCGCACGTCGCCCTTGATGTCGAAGGTCCAGTGCTTTCCGTTGTCGCCGCTGGCGAGCAAGCCACCGCCGATGTTCTAAAGCCCTGCTAAGTCCTCAAGCATCCTCATGTTTTTGGCGGCCCAGTAGTTCGAGGAAAACTCCAGTCTGGCACCGAAAGCCTCGCCGAACGTCGCCGCGATGCCCTTCCCGTGCACGGCGAGGAATTGGTCGAATGTCTTGTAATCATCTGCGTTCGTGGCGTTCGCGGCCAGCTGCTTGAAGAGCCCCTCGAAATCTGCCATCGCGATGCCGCTGCCCTCGGACAGCTCGAAGCGGATGGGGGGCCACCTCGAAGAAGTTCTGCGTCTGCGAACGATGGGCCCACCACTCCTCGCGGGGGCGGCGACGACGGAGGGGTGAGCGGAGACGAGGGCGAGGACGAGGACGACGACGAAGACGAGGCCCATGACGACGGCGACGCGACGAAGCAGGCGACGACGACGACGGCGGCAGCGACGGCGACGACGACGACAACGACGACCAAGCGCGCATGCACGCACGCGTCCTCGATGCGGTCGCTGTCTTCGTCATCGAGCGCCTGAACGCCGAGGGTCGAGTTCGTCGCCTGCGCGAAGGAGAAAGAACGGCACTTTCAGCCTGCTGCGCGATGCCTTCACATCCTCGCCCGCCGGCATCTCGACGTGGGCGAGCAGTGAGATGCCGACGCCCGCGGCCCCGAGCATTGGCGCAACGGGCTCGTTCCTCTCGGTCGGATGCTGGAGCAGCCTCTTGGCCAAGGTAACCCCGTGCGCGAGGCCGACCGCCGAGGCGTCGGTGATCGCCCTCTTGGTGGAGGCAGCGTTGAAAACGGTGCCCTCGCAAGCATCCCTCGCACTGCGAACCATGTCCAGAGGGCCCTTCTCCTCTGGATTCATGCCGGCAAAGGCGCCGGTGAGGCCCCCCTCGCGGTTCGACTCCTCAAGGGCCCCGACGAGCGAACGCAAGGAGTTGCCGACGCGCTGGAGGGCGCGATCCAGCTTCTTGTCGAGACCTCTCCAGGCCACCGCCTTCATCAAAAGTTCTGAGTGGCCCAGCTCGAATTTCGCCGCGCGCTCTGCCTCCGCGCCCGCGTCGCCAGACGCCGCGCGGGTAGCCCGCTGCATCGCCAACCCCTCGATGGAGCTGCTGAGCAGCCACAAGAAGTCGTTTGCACCGCCCTTGCGCAGCTGTCCGCCCATCGCCCCAAAGTCATCGAGGATGGACTTGAAGGAGTCGCAAGGGACTTCGGCCTCCTTGAGGGTCATAGCGCACTCGTCCATCTTGGGGGCGCGCTTGATGCCTGCGTAGTGCGAGCGGTTGAAGCCTTAAAGTTCCGCGTTTGGCCCCCCCCCCCCCCCCCCCCGAAAGACGAAACCACGGGCCCCCACTTCTCGCCCGCCTCTTCGCGCAAGAACCTCCAGACATCCCCTCGGGCGGTGCAGTTCGCCAAGGACGTCGGAGCAGGATCCATCAAAACCTTCGTGCTCTCGGCGAAAGTTGAGAGCTCGCGCGCGTAGGTGGCCGCGCCCTCAGGGGCGGCATTGCTTATCGTCTCCGCGCAAGCGTGGTCTAAAATTGCACCCGCGAGCTCCTCCATGCGGTAGTTGTCGACGCGGTCCTCCTTCGTCGCGGCGAGGGCGACGCGGTTGATGAAGAAGTCCCTCGCAATCTCTACCATCTTGCTCACTGGCAAGCCGACCTGCGACAAGTTCGGCTCTGCCGTCGAGAAAGCCGCCTCGTCGGCATCCCCGACCCAAGGTGCGCAGCAAATGATCTCGTCGGCAACTGCATCGACCTCTGCCAAATACTTCTCGCAAAACTTCCGCCTGAAGGACCTCGCATTCGCGAGGGGCGCGCGCTTGGGCTTCTTGAACATGGTGCTCCTCTGCGAAGCGGTCAGGGTATCTAACGCAGCACCGCCGAGGTCAGAACAGGCATCGATGTCTCTCAAGAGGCTGGCCTTGCCACCCTGCACCGTCTGCGCCCTTGGCTTGAAGCGCTTCAGCGCGTAGATGCGGCCACCGCAGCCGCGATTATCTGCCCCCTTATCCAGGACGTCGGTCAAGCTGACTCCAGCCTTGAGCTCGTTGAGGCGGCCCGTTGCCTGATCGCCCCCGTCGGATGCCTGGGCCTGCTTTCTCTTCTGCCCGCTGGGGGGCCCAGCGCCTGAGACTGAAGGCGCGCCCCCCCTGCTCCGCCTGCCAGTCGGGATCGAGCCATCTGGCTTCTCAGGGGCCTCGCTGAGGGTGGGCGGTAGCCCGGCGCCCGGGGGGTTCTGGCCATGAACTCCATCTGCGTCCTGTACTGTGTCGCCTTGGCCAGGACCTGAACGGCGTAGGCTACCGTCCTCGAGCGCGCTGAGAGGATGCCCCCCCTCGCTTCGGCCCATCTGGTGTCAAGAGTTGCCCACCCGCTGGGGCCCCAGGCCCCTCGGGCACATGCCCTCGCGCCCGCGCTGCCCCGGCAGCTCGCCGCTTCAACTGATCGAGGGTCGGGGCGGGCACGTGGCCACGAAGCGCAATCGGGGGCATCGCCCCCGCGTGGCTCTCGATCTTCTGCTCCGTCGATAAGCCCTGCGCCTCCCTGCAATTCTCCTCGGCCTCAAGAACCCGCTCCGCGTGGGGGCCATAGGTCTTCGACCAGCGCCGCGCTCTCAAGAACTGAAATTCGGGGTCAGCGACCACGGCGCCCGAAATCTTCCGGCCGCGGTGCTCGCTGAGAATCTCTGTCGCCTGTTATCCTGCGTCGGCGGGAGTGAGCGACTCGGCGCCGCGCGGTACAGCGCCGGACTGGCGCTGCTGCTCCGTCAACAACACGCAATCGCTGAAGACTGCCATGCCAGCACCCTGGCGGATGGCGACCTCGCGGCTGGATCCTGGGATGGGTGCGCTGCCAGCCGCGACGCCGCAAGAGAACTGGAAGACGTCGGCGACGTCGGTGTCCTCGTTGGGCACGCCGCAAAATTGCAGCCGTCCATAGTCCATCCACCATTGGCCCCACACATAGCCTGTCGTGTGGAGCGCGCAGACATGCAGGAACTTCTGGATGGTGGCCCCTGGCCATTTGATGTCATGCACCGAGCCGACTCCCTCTTGCCACGCGCGCCACACAAGCCCTTCTTGTCGGCGGCGGAATTGAAAAGGCTGCAGGCACGGATGATCAGCGGGCCGATGATGCCGTCGTTCGCCCTGGCCTGTTCCGCGATCTTCGCCTTCTTGGGAGCCCGCCCGCGCCTTGCACCAATCGAGGCGCCCGCGACTCGGCGGCGGCGGCGGCTCCGAGTCGGCCTCGGGCCCCGCGCCCCCAATCTCCATGGCTGGCCGACGGGCGGAACCTGTGGCCGCAGCCGCCATGGCCGACCAACCGTACGTCGCTGGAGCGACCTGGCCGCCATGGCGCGCGTGCCGATGGGAGCAGGCGGCCTGAGGGACGGGGGCCCGCGCGCGGGAGCAGGCGCAGCGAGTGGGCTGGAGGAGATAGCGCGAGAAGGCTTCGAGCATGCGGCTGGAAGCATGGAGGCCGACTTGACGGAATGGCGTTGATCAAGGAGCTACCGTTTTTTGGCTTTAGGTCATGGATCGCCCCCTGCTCCGCCTGGCCGTTTTTTTATGTTTTCACATGTTTTTAATGCGTTTTCTGCTATCAGACGCTGCTGAGGTTGCTGCCCTCCGATTCCTCGCGGCTGCGCCAGCTCAAGACCTGCCGCGCGCCGCCGGCTCCCATCGGCGCGGACGCGCGCCGTGGCGGCCATGAGCAAGCAGAGCGTGATCCGACCGGTGGTGAAAGACTTCGTCGACGCACACTTCCACGTGAAGGACGCGCCCACGGAGAATCCAGGAAGGGGCGGCCGGAAAAAGCTGCAAGCTGAGGATGGAGGGCCTGAAGCACCAGCAGGAAAGGCGAAAGCCAAGGCTCACGCTAAGGCGAAGCCAGCGCCTGTTCATGGCGTCGCTCCTGAAGCTGCGGAGGTCGCCGCGGTGCCAGCGCCTGCGCCTGCAGGCGCAGTGGTGCCAGCGCCTGCGCCTGCGTCGGACTTCAAGCAGAAGTTGTGCAAGTTTACGTGCAAGACTTGTCAATGTGAGCTCAAAGGGATGGGGGACTCCCGCGCACTGCACCACATCCTCGCGAGCACCTCTAGTGAGGTGAAACTATGCTCGGACCCGCAAGTAACGCAAGAAGAACTCAGCCGCCTCGTCGAGGCGAAGGTGCCACTCGCGAACGGTTTCGAGGGCAGGCTCACATCGCACGTGAATCTTTCATGGATCAAGAAGCCTCAACCAGACCTCCAGCAAGAGCGCGGCAGCCGCGTCAAAGCCATCACGCCGTCCGAGATGAAACAGATGCAGAAGATGCAAGTGAAAGCAAGGATTGCTAAGGGCGGGTTCGCAGTGAACAACGAGGTAGAGGAGCACTACACGTCCTTCCTCAAGAGTCTGAACCCCACCTACGAGCCTCCGTCCAGAAAGGAGGCGGAGAGGGTCCGCAACGAGCTGCACGAGGACCCCTCCTCCCGTCATCCTTATATGTTTTCCTTGTGTCCTCGCCACCCTCTGCTCTGCCTCTTCCTCCTGCTTCTCCTCGTCCTTCTCCATCCCTTCCTGCCTCCCCTTGGTGCTTGAGGAGCGGATAGAAGCGAGGAGCACTATCCTTCAGGCGACGGGGCCGGGGGGATCGTAAGCGACGGGTGCCGCGGGAAGATGCACGAGTCCATGCTCAATTTCCTTTACGTGCAGGGCATCAGCGGCACATGCCTGCACTGGAGCACCGTTGACAAGGGGAGCCGCACCAAAGACGGCGAGGAACTTGCGAAAGTTGCTCGAGAAGTGCGAGCCGACATGGAAGCGGTGGTTGGGCCTGGCAAAATCCGCGCGTACACCACGGACAGAGCCAGCGCGAATAAGGTCAATAGCCCCGGGCTCGGGCAGGGAGGGGGAGGAAAGAGGGGGAGGAGGAGGAGGGGGAGGATGCGAGGATGATGGGAGGAGGAGGTGGAGGAAGGTCAGCTGGAAGCTCCTCGAGGACGACGGGCTCGAAGGTGGCCCAGATAGCGTCCACGTGCACCACTCCATGATTGGGGATGTCCTGAAAACGATTCCTGGCTTCGCGGAGGCAGCGGCCGACGCCAGCGCAGCAGTGGAGGGCTTTCGGAAACGCCCGAAACTCCTCAGCGACTTCAGGGGCTACCAGGCCGAAGCCAACGACAAACGCTTGACCCTGTTGAAGGCCAGGAAGGAGAGGTTCGGCAGCACGTACGCCATGAGTAACCGCCTGATCCGTTTGAAGAAGCATCTGAAAACTTACGTGTGCAAAAGTAGGTTCAAGTCCAAATTTTCCAAAACTGCCCCAGACCAGGCCACGAAAACCTTCATCCGTGGGAAGTTCAGGGCCAAACGATTTTGGAAAGAGCAGAAACACATCGTCAAAGTGCTGCGCCCCATCGTCCGCAGCATGCGGATGTGTGACGCCAGGAAGCCAAGGAAGGCAGGCTTGTTGTTGCCATCTTTGAAAAGGATGCGGACGTCCCTGGAGAAGCACGTGGACACTGCCTGCGAGAAACTCGTGGGCGGCGAGGATGCCAAGAAAATTCAGGAAGACGTGCTCCGGCAGATCGCAGTCAGAATCAAGGAGCTCACGACGGACCGAACCATGGCGGCTACGATCGCCCATCCCCGAAACATCCTCAAGTTGCGTGCCGAGCAAGATGCGAACGGCCCGATGCACTTTTTTACTAGCTCGAGAGGTCGCCCCGCGGCAAAGGAGGAAGAGGAGAGCAGAAGGGGGAGGGGGGAGAGGAAGGGAGGAAGCAGCAGCAGAAGCAGCAGCAAACGCAGAAGGAGGCGCGCCCGCCCGCGCACGGACCGGCGGGCCCCCGCCTCAGCCGGGCTGCGGCTTTGCGCAGCCCGGCGCCGCGCCCCCGCGGCTAGGCCGCGGCGCCCAGGAGCTCGGCGAGCTCGAGGAGCTGCGGCGCGGCCAGGCGCGCCACCTGCCGCGACACCCGGCCGCGGGCCGCAGGCAGACGCCGGCCCTCGGGCAGGCCGAGGTGGCGTGCGGCGGCCCGGACCGGCGTCCAGCCGCGCTGGAGGAGGTCGCACACCTCCTCGCGCAGCGCCTCCGCGGCCTCCGCGGCGGCCGCGTCCGCGGCCGCGGCCCGGGCCTCCGCCTGAGCGGCCGCCGCAGCGCGGGCCGCCGCCTCCGCGCGCGCCGCCGCCGCGGCGCCTGTGGCGGCTCCGGCGACCGCGCCGCCAGCCCGCGCGTCCCCCGCGGGCAGGGTCGTCGCCGGCGGGGCGTAGAGCCCGGCGGCCTCCTCCGCCGCCAGGTCAGCCCAGAGCCGCCGCTTCGCCGGCTCCGCTCCCGGCGCGGCCGCCCCCGAGGCCAGCGGGGCCGCCGGTGGAGCCCCAGCTCCAGGCGCTGCCGCCGCGGGCGGAGCGGCCGTTGGAGCCCCCGCTCCCGGCGCTGCCGCCGCAGGCGGAGCTGCCGTCGGAGCACCCGCTCCCGGCGCTGCCGCCGCCGCAGGCGGAGCCGCCGTCGGAGCTTCCGCGGCGGGGGCCGCCTGGCCCCGCGCCCGCGGCGGGGTGGCGACGGCGGCAGCCGCGGCGCGCCCCTGCTCAGCCGGGGCAGGGGAGCCTGAAGCGCCAGCCTCGCCCGGCTGGCCTGCGAGCTGCGCCCAGTCGAGCCCGTCGTACTCGCGCTCGATGGGGTGCTCGCCTGCGTCTAGCGGGAGCGCCGGCGGCCCTCCCGTCGGAGAAGGCCGGCAGCCACCGCCTCGGCTAGGACGCCAGCCGCGACCCCCTCGGCCGCGAAGCCCCAGCCGCTCGCCCTGAGCGCCGCCGCCACCGCCTCCGCGGGGGGCGCTGCCTGCGGGTCCCTCGGGCCCTTCGCCCGCGGCGCGCTGCCCGCGCCGCCGGCCGCCGCGGCGGCCGCGCCGCCGCCGGACCCTGCTCCTGGCGCTGCCGCTGCCTGCGGAGCTGCCGGTGGAGCCCCAGCTCCCGGCGCTGCCGCCGCAGTCGGAGCCGCCGTCGGGGCCCCTGCTCCTGGCGCTGCCGCCGTGGGCGGAGCTGCCGTCGGAGCCCCTGCTCCCAGCGCTGCCGCCGTGGGCGGAGCCGTCGCGGGAGTCCGCGCCGCCGCCCCCGGGGAGCCGCTCCCGGAGCCGCTCGTGGCGTCGCTGTAGCTGCTGCCGCGGCTGGCCGGGGCAGCCACCGCCGCCGCCGCCGCGCCCGGCCCTGCGAGAAGCGTCCCGTCCGCGGGGAGCTCCTGCTCGCGGCTCCGGCCGGCCGCCCGTGCGGGGGAGCTGCTGGAGCCGCCGCCGCGGGGTCGCCGGCCCGGGGGGCTCGCTCGCCGCTCGGCGCCCGCCGCGGGGCAGCTCGTGGCCGCTGCCTCGGCGGGCTCCGGTGTGTCCGCCCTGCCCGGGGGGCTGGGGAGCGGCCGCGCGTGCGGCTGCTCCGGCGGGTGCGGCGCCGGCGGGTGGCCCGCTCGCTCGGGCTGCGCTCCCGGTGCGGGCGCCTGCGCCGGCGCCGCGGCTCCCGGGCGCTGGGGCTGCTGCTCGAGCGTGCCCTGCGCCGGCGCAAGCGGCGCCCAGTAGCCTGCGTCGCCGGCCCCTGCCCAGCCCGCGGGCTGCGGGCGCGCGCGGGCGCCGCGGCGCGGCCGGGCCCAGGGGGCGCCGTCGTCGGCGCCTCCCTCCCGCGCAGGAGCGCCGCCTCCCGCCGGGGGGGGGTCACCGGGGCCGGCCGCAGCGTCGCCCTCGGCGCCGTCGCCGGCGCCCCCGCGGGAGCCGGCCTCGAGCCCGGCCGGGCCTTCGCCGGAGGGGGCGGCGAGGGTGCCCTCTGCGGGGCCCGCACCCGCACCCACGGGGTCCGCATCGGCGCTGCCGAGGGGGCCCTCGGAGCTGCCGCCTGCGGCCCAGGTGCCGGGTGCCACGGGCACTCCCCCACACGCTCCCGGCGCGACTGGGGTAGCGTGGACCCGCCAGCCCCAGCCCGCGGGGACGCAGGGCACTGGGACGCACAGCCAGGTGCACGTCTGCCCGCCCGGTTGCCACGAGACGGCATGGCTGCCCGGGTGCATGCGCCGCCCCGCGGCGCCCGCAGCCCGGCCAAAACAGCTGGTGGGCCCGCGAGCCCACGGCCGCGGCAAGCTCCCAACCCCCCCCACGGGGGTTGGGAACTTGGCCCGATGCACAAATTGAAGAAAGCGTGCAATGCAGGTTTCTTCAAGATCGGCCGGGCGCATGCCGACTGGGAAGCGGCAAAGAACGCAGTATGTGATTACCTTGGCCAGAAGGGGATTTGGCTCGACGGGAAGCTCATCAAGGAATGCG